CATTAACCCGAGGCGTGCATCCAAACAGGCTATATCATCATTCCATTGTCCAACCCGCTTCTTATCCCGTAATCGTTGCGATCCAACTTGTTGAGAACGCTCGCTACCCATCACATTTCACAGCTGAACTGACGGCTGACTTGCTACGACAGTAAAGACCCTTTCGACCTAAACCAAACGATGGCTATAGGTGTAGGAACACAGTGGTTCGCCCCCGCGGGGAAGGATGAACGGAATCTTATTTTATGACTGTGAAGACAGCAGAAAGAACCAAAGGGAGAGGAAACCGAGCTTCATTCTTGCATTAAACCAGCGTGTGACTAAAAAAAACGAAAACGATAAAATCACCGCTTTACAAATAACAGTGTGTTCTTTAACCAACACGTGATTTTTTAAGGGCGTTGGCTAACACAGGAGATGTAGACAAATATAGCAACACTTCTTGTATGGTCAGTTTAGCCTTGAAGGAGCTTGTAATTTGTCCCGACAAAAGAACTTTCTGAGAAATTATCAGCCTTCTTTCCTCGTAATCAGATTGGACGGGTGAGACTGACGTATAATTTTGTTTAGCACGAGAAACTACCGCAGCATTGATGGGGACAGAGGAGAGCAATTTAACAGGACCAAAAGGTTCATAAAAGAGCCTTAAGGGCTACTGATAGCTCTCTTGTTACGACCACCATGGCCACTTAACCTGGTATCCGGTGTCAAGTTGACCCATACGGAAGCAGGACTGGGACAGGCTTGACTAACACGGCTGGTTCAATGGGAAGACGTCTTGCATTACAAAAAGCTTTAGAAACAGGTTTGTCGTTGAGTGAATGTGAGAATGGATTTTTCACGCCACGTTTAGAGATGTTCCCGTTCTATGACGTCAGGTACTTTTGTGTGTCTGGTACAGACAAACCAGATGCTGAACAGTGAATCGATCGGTATGTGAGGGAGTGAGTAGGTTTTGAGTGGGTGTGTGAGTGAGTGAGTGAGTGAGTGAGTGAGTGAGTGAGTGAGTGAGTCATATGCCAGTCTACCCAACTGTGGACACCAATAATGTGCTTCAAATGCTATTTTCACCCATGTTGGGAATCGACATCAAAAGACGTTAACAGATGGTACTTGTTGTTATTCTGCCTGGCGCTCGGCATTAAAGGTGAGGTGAGGTGAAATTGGGTTTAACGTCTCGTCCAAGATTATAGCACTTATATAGCGACGTGCATGCACGTGTGTGTGTGTGTGTGGCTGCTTGTACGGACTGATGCCGATTGAAAGTGCTAGCCCACTGAGATACCATGCCGCAGTGTAACATGAATACCCCACTCAGACACAGTATATGGACTCCGAGCCGACCAGTCCTTGATTTAGCCCCTTAATGCCGAGCGCCAGACAGGGTAACAACAAGTACAATCGTTTACCGTCTTTTTGAATGACGCGGCAGGGGATCGAACCCCGGACCTTCCGCTCTCCGGGCGGCATTAAATGGATAAAACAAGGACTGGTTCGGTTCAGAGTAAACTGTGTCTGAGTTGGGTATTCATGATAAACTGCGGCATGGTGTCATGGATAAAATCGTCATTAGCCCGGACTAGTACAAGCACACACACACACACACACACACACACACACACACACACACACACACACACACACACACACACACACACACACGTCGCTGTATGAGTGCATTAATCTTGATCGCCTCGTTAAACCCCATTTCACTCCACATACTCCTTTCAACATCTCCCCTACTTTGTATGAGGACTATTTCATCTGATAATTTCCAATCCAATTCTTCAAACCAGTGGTTGATAGCACGAACCTCGATCCAGTCGGTTGGTTACGGTAACACACAAATAGCCAACCAGTCTCCATCCTAATCTGCTCTTATTCGGGCTTTGATGCACATGAAGACCAACAGATTTCAAAACCGGAGAAGAGGATGAACGGAGGTATTTTAGGGAGGGGCACTGATATATACATACCGTTGGATCTTACACTCATAGTTTCCACTGACCGAAGAACTCTAGTCAACTCTAGTCCACCAAGTACAAGTACAGACTACTTCTTAGTGCATCGTTCTCTATAAACTAAGCATCAGTAACAAACCACGCTAATTACAAGTTAAATAACGAAAATGACCTGCAAGCAACCATGACTTGTTTCGTTTCACGTGTCAGCCCAGGCGATGCCTCAGGTGCTGAAAGTAACGCTGAACTATATGCGCATTTCAATCCGCTCATCACTGCGGCATCTTGAAATCGAACAGTCGGATTACTGAGCTATAAAAAAGTGTTAAATGCGAGTCCCATCCTCTATAATTAACAGCTTGAGCGACACAGCAACGCATAAACTTCACGTCAGGGTAAAGCGACGCGAGCTCAGAGCAAAGGTCTTTGTTAATCGGGCATATAAATCTTAAATCTTTATTTTAAATTTCAGCGTTTCTTTCTCATTGGCGGTTTAAGTTTAAGTGTGATTTTTTTTTTTGCATTTCTCTCTGTTGTATTTGATCGAGGACTTGGTGAACTTTAGCGAGCTGGGAATTTAATCCTAACCCTCGCGCAGTGAGACTTAAGATTGAAGGGAGATGTGCTTTAGGGTTATTTCGCAAGAATAAGAGAGGGAAAGGGGAGGCTACCTGGGAGAGGGCGAATGTCTCAACTCGTGTTGCAGTGGTATCGAAGGATGCTGTGAGCTTCTACTCATCTTGCAGCATCCAATAGTCGCGATTTACAACAACAATATATTTACTGGTGAAATACCTTCTAATACCGTTGTTGTACTGTAGTATTTCAGACGTAAATTATGTAAAGATTCATGTATCACCCTCGCTCTCGCTCTGAAAATACAAAATTTCTTACACTCGTTTTGTAAAATCAGTATGGCACACATGCACGGATAATAATCTCTATTATGCTAAACACATTATCGTCCAACAATGCAGATTTCTACTTAGTTATTTTTCTTTAATTTTAGACCGCCTCCGTGGTCTAGTGGTAGAGCGTCCGCCCGGAGAGCGGAAGGTCCGGGGTTCGATCCCCGACCAAAAGACGTTACAAGATGGTACTTGTTGTTACCCTGTCTGGCGCTCGGCATCAAGGGGCTAAAACAAGGACTGGTCGGTTCGGAGTCAGTATACTGTGTCTGAGTGGGGTGTTCATGTTAAACTGCGGCATGGTATCTCAGTGAGCTAGCACTTTCAGTCCGGACTAGTACAAGCAGCCACACACACACACGTGCATGCACGTCGCGATATAAGTGCAATAATCTTTGACGCGACGTTACACCCATTTCACCTCACTACCTTTAATTTTATAGACCAACCATTTCGTACTGTCGGTAAATTGCAATGAGATGAGGAATTCTGCTTGAATGATATTCTTGGAAATGTCTCATTGACAATTGACGAGGTAAGGACAACTGCACTGCATCGAGACTCGTCGGCGTCGTATTGCAAAAGATGACAGGGACTCAAGCAATATGTTTTTGTAGCCAGTCTTCATTCTCTGTTTATTGTGGTGTTTACAAGAAAAAATACCGAAAAGATGTATTGTTTCATCAACAACTACAATCCCTGAGACAATCTTTTTTATGCCATTTATAAAAATATTCCAGAAATATCTGGGCTAGGGACGCAAGAAATGGGATCCGTATATTGTACTTTTTTGAGGAATCGAACCCGGAAAGACGACGCAAAGATTTTAACCACTACCCTACACTACCGTCCCTTAAACTTTTATCAGATGTATGTGTTCATAAAATGTCGATGACATAATTTCCAATTCGGGAAAAGCTCTATTACGATGAATAGCTGGCTCATATTTCTGTCTTTGTAACATCGCTGCTGTCGCTCGCGTAATGTCAGTGGTTGTACGTTGTTAACTTTAGATAGGTCATTAATTTTAAGATATAACTTAAATTTAACTCTCCGCGATGCTGCAATGTCACACCTTGTTTAGCCGGCTACAAGACTCTGTACTATTTCATTCATGGCGGTAGACCGTTCACAAATGTATATACTTAGTTCTATCCATTCACAAATATGACGAATAGGAAATTTCGGGCGGGAAGCCGTCTTTCTAAACATAGAGTATGATTGCCGATGTTTGCTGAATGAATCCACGATTTGCCACGAAAAACACACAAACGCCAAAGCGTGTTTTGGACAAGATATCCGAACGAAAAGTGTCAAAAACTCAAGTTTGCAAACAGTCTTTATAATTAACTCGAACTGGGCTCATGTCGTTAAACCCGAGGCCCTGGATGTGGATCAGAAACGACAGATGCCGGTCGAACTGTAATAGGTGGACAATTTAGCACATAAAGCACTTTGACACACATGTAGAATTTGTTGACAGAGACATGATGTACTTAGTGTTGTTTGCGAATTCGTCAGGCCCTAATCTCGTACTGTGGAGATAGTGTAGGTCAAGGTCGCTCTTTGGAGGAGTTGGCTACCAGGTTGTGACAAAGGTGACGGTACGGAGTCTCGTGTGTTTATAAACACGTCATGTCACATGCCTAAAATACATGTAGGTTTATCAATGGTAAAGTTTGAGTCATAGCAATAGGAGGTCGTATGTATAGTATTGTGGTTAAAGCGTTCTTTAGTAACCAGGTTTGTTTCCTCAAAGTGAAGCCTATTTGTGGTGTCCTCAACAGCCATATTTTTGGAATATTGTTAAAGAACGGCTAAACAATACTCACTCATTATTAAACTCAACACAAAAAATGTATTTGATCAAATGTGTATGATTGTTTGTTTGTGGATAACAACGATAAAGTGAATCCACCACTGCGAAACGCCGTGAACGCGAAGAACCTTTTGACCATCGAATTTCGTTCGAGTTGTCCGTATTTCGAGACAAGCGGTGTACCGATATGAGACAACAGAGCGTAGCTCAGGATTCTTCCGTGACCAGTAAGTTACATTATCTTGAACGACATCACGAGAAAACAGGAGTTCCAGAAACGCTTGTTCGACTGTATAGGTAACCAGTAAATGTTCAGAGTTTCAGAATATTATTTATCCGATCAAATAATCCAAGCACCGTGTATACATTATGCACCCTCACGTGCACCCGTTTAGGAAACAACGCTCTATGCTCGTCTTTGTGCGAGTCTACTTCTGTGTCTACGCCTGTTTGTACATCTATGCCCACTCCCGTGTGTACTTCCGAGTCTCCTTCTGTGTCTACTTCTGTGTCTACTTCCGTGTGTACTTCCGAGTCTACTTCTGAGTCTCCTTCTGTGTCTACCTCTGTGTCTACTTCCGTGTGTACTTCCGAGTCTACTTCTGAGTCTCCTGCTGTGTCTACTTCTGTGTCTACTTCCGTGTGTACTTCCGAGTCTACTTCTGAGTCTACTTCTGTGTGTACTTCCGAGTCCACTTCTGAGTCTACTTCTGAGCCTACTTCCGTGTGTACTTCCGAGTCTACTTCTGAGTCTACTTCTGTGTCTACTTCTGAGCCTACTTCATTGTGTACTTCCGAGTCTACTTCTGTGTCTACTTCTGTGTCTACTTCTGTGTCTACTTCCGTGTGTACTTCCGAGTCTCCTTCTGTGTCTACTTCCGTGTGTACTTCCGAGTCTCCTTCTGTGTCTCCTTCTGTGTCAACCTCTGTGTCTACTTCTGTGTCTACTTCTGTGTCTACTTCTGTGTCTACTTCCGTGTGTACTTCCGAGTCTCCTTCTGTGTCTACTTCCATGTGTACTTCCGAGTCTACTTCTGTGTCTACTTCTGTGTCTACTTCTATGTCTACTTCCGTGTGTACTTCCGAGTCTACTTCTGTGTCTACTTCTGTGTCTACTTCTGTGTCTACTTCCGTGTGTACTTCCGAGTCTCCTTCTGTGTCTACTTCCGTGTGTACTTCCGAGTCTCCTTCTGTGTCTCCTTCTGTGTCAACCTCTGTGTCTACTTCTGTGTCTACTTCTGAGTCTACTTCTGTGTCTACTTCCGTGTGTACTTCCGAGTCTCCTTCTGTGTCTACTTCCGTGTGCACTTCCGAGTCTACTTCTGTGTCTACTTCTGTGTCTACTTCTATGTCTACTTCCGTGTGTACTTCCGAGTCTACTTCTGTGTCTACTTCTGTGTCTACTTCTATGTCTACCTCCGTGTGTACTTCCGAGTCTACTTCTGAGTCTACTTCCGTTTGTCTACCTTTGTGTCTACTTCCGTGTGTACTTCCGAGTCTCCTTCTGTGTCTACTTCCGTGTGTACTTCCGAGTCTCCTTCTGTGTCTACTTCTGTGTCTACCTCTGTGTCTACTCCTGTGTCTACTACCGTGTGTACTTCCGAGTCTTCTTCTGTGTCTACTTCTATGTCTACTTTCGTGTGTACTTCCGAGTCTACTTCTGAGTCTGCTTCTGTTGAGCCGTCTGCTTGCCCTTCTGCTTGTCTATGTGATTGAAATCTTCTTCTCCGTCTTGTGGATTTCTGTTTGTCCGCCTGGTTGACATCTGTTTGTCTATCTTGTTGAAGTCTGCTTGCCTGGTTGACATCTGTCTGGTTGAAATCTGTCTTTCTGGTTGTTTATCTGTTTGACATCTGCTTGTCTTGTTGACATATGTTTGTCTTTCTGGTTGAAATTTGCTTGTCTGGTTGACATCTTTCTTTCTGGTTGTTTATCTGGTTGACATCTGTTTGTCTGTCTGGTTGACATGTGTTTGTCTAACTGGTTGAAATCTGTCTTTCTTATTGTTTATCTGGTTGACATCTGTTTGTCCGTCTGGTTGACATCTGCTTGTTTATCTGGTTGAAGTCTGCTTGTCTGGTTGACATCTGCCTGGCTGAAATCTGCTTGTCTGGTTGACATCTGTCTTTCTGGTTGTTAACTAGTTGACATCTATTTGTCTGTCTGGTTGATATCTATTTACCTGCCTGTCGCTGTTCAGTCTAAGCAACATCTGACACGAACCGTCACTTCCAGGTTGTAGCCAATTATCCAAATTGATTAAGAGTATGTATTGGTTTGAAACTCATACACAATAAATTGATTTTGTCCTTTTTGTTCATTCTAATCAGGAATACAATCACTCAATGATTCATTAACTATGCAAATTAGAACTTTTTCTTCGTAGTATTAAAACTTCATGCATACTGGTATCTATTTCTTCCGAAACAATATATATAATTACTACTTAAAGAATAAAGTAATTGAATTCGTTTCATGTAATTTCATTTAATTAAAGTACATCAAACGTTATATAGTTTACTACCTTTCCGTTACGGTACATTAAAGACATGTGTAACATGTTTCAGAATCAAATGTCCACAAAAAGCATATACTTCAAAGCGTTGCTGGATATACCCCAGTGCTTCAAATCATTAATTGCATAGTTTCATTTGACGTATCGTTTATTTAGTATCATTCCCCATAATAAATTGTAAGAAACACCATATGCACGTGGATTCCACGCGGAAGTGGATTGTGATAGTGTAACCTAGTTAGCTCCACCACCTTTACTCGAGGTCGCTGTTTTGGTCGAAGCACTGAAACAGCTGGAGCCTGGCTTATCAACATGGTTAGATATCGTCAAACCGTTTGGGGATAAAAATAGTATAATCATAAAAAAAATCAGTAAGTATTTGTTCCTATTATTAGTCGTAGTATTATTATTATAATTATGATGATGATGATGATGATGATTATTATCCTTGCAATCGGTACATGTACACTAAGACAGTCACCGTCCCCATACTTCGACATTCAGATGTTTTGATTAAATATCTTATCTTATCGTGGAATTTATAAACTAGGCCAGAAACATTACACGCGGGGTCAAGTAATCGGCACTTGAACATCATGCCCTTCAAACATGGCGCTTAAACAATGTAGTAATCTTCACGACCAAACCCTGCAAATCGTACAAATCACTTGTTTAATCGTACAGCCGAACTATACTTGAATTAAATTTGAGCAAAAACTATTACCGATTGAAAACCTTGGAATTAAGCGTTTTCTTCTCCTTTTTCGTCGGTACAATCTTTTCGGGTGGGAAGCCGTCTTTCTAAACATAGAGTATGATTGCCGATGTTTGCTGAATGAATCCACGATTTGCCACGAAAAACACACAAACGCCAAAGCGTGTTTTGGACAAGATATCCGAACGAAAAGTGTCAAAAACTCAAGTTTGCAAACAGTCTTTATAATTAACTCGAACTGGGCTCATGTCGTTAAACCCGAGGCCCTGGATGTGGATCAGAAACGACAGATGCCGGTCGAACTGTAATAGGTGGACAATTTAGCACATAAAGCACTTTGACACACATGTAGAATTTGTTGACAGAGACATGATGTACTTAGTGTTGTTTGCGAATTCGTCAGGCCCTAATCTCGTACTGTGGAGATAGTGTAGGTCAAGGTCGCTCTTTGGAGGAGTTGGCTACCAGGATGTGACAAAGGTGACGGTACGGAGTCTCGTGTGTTTATAAACACGTCATGTCACATGCCTAAAATACATGTAGGTTTATCAATGGTAAAGTTTGAGTCATAGCAATAGGAGGTCGTATGTATAGTATTGTGGTTAAAGCGTTCTTTAGTAACCAGGTTTGTTTCCTCAAAGTGAAGCCTATTTGTGGTGTCCTCAACAGCCATATAAGTCCACTTCTGAGTCTACTTCTGTGTCTACTTCCGTGTGTACTTCCGAGTCTACTTCTGAGTCTACTTCTGTGTGTACTTCCGAGTCCACTTCTGAGTCTACTTCTGTGTCTACTTCTGAGCCTACTTCATTGTGTACTTCCGAGTCTACTTCTGTGTCTACTTCTGTGTCTACTTCTGTGTCTACTTCCGTGTGTACTTCCGAGTCTCCTTCTGTGTCTACTTCCGTGTGTACTTCCGAGTCTCCTTCTGTGTCTCCTTCTGTGTCAACCTCTGTGTCTACTTCTGTGTCTACTTCTGAGTCTACTTCTGTGTCTACTTCCGTGTGTACTTCCGAGTCTCCTTCTGTGTCTACTTCCGTGTGTACTTCCGAGTCTACTTCCGTGTCTACTTCTGTGTCTACTTCTATGTCTACTTCCGTGTGTACTTCCGAGTCTACTTCTGTGTCTACTTCTGTGTCTACTTCTATGTCTACCTCCGTGTGTACTTCCGAGTCTACTTCTGAGTCTACTTCCGTTTGTCTACCTTTGTGTCTACTTCCGTGTGTACTTCCGAGTCTCCTTCTGTGTCTACTTCCGTGTGTACTTCAGAGTCTCCTTCTGTGTCTACTTCCGTGTGTACTTCCGAGTCTCCTTCTGTGTCTACTTCTGTGTCTACCTCTGTGTCTACTTCTGTGTCTACTACCGTGTGTACTTCCGAGTCTTCTTCTGTGTCTACTTCTATGTCTACTTTCGTGTGTACTTCCGAGTCTACTTCTGAGTCTGCTTCTGTTGAGCCGTCTGCTTGCCCTTCTGCTTGTCTATGTGATTGAAATCTTCTTCTCCGTCTTGTGGATTTCTGTTTGTCCGCCTGGTTGACATCTGTTTGTCTATCTTGTTGAAGTCTGCTTGCCTGGTTGACATCTGTCTGGTTGAAATCTGTCTTTCTGGTTGTTTATCTGTTTGACATCTGCTTGTCTTGTTGACATATGTTTGTCTTTCTGGTTGAAATTTGCTTGTCTGGTTGACATCTTTCTTTCTGGTTGTTTATCTGGTTGACATCTGTTTGTCTGTCTGGTTGACATGTGTTTGTCTAACTGGTTGAAATCTGTCTTTCTTATTGTTTATCTGGTTGACATCTGTTTGTCCGTCTGGTTGACATCTGCTTGTTTATCTGGTTGAAGTCTGCTTGTCTGGTTGACATCTGCCTGGCTGAAATCTGCTTGTCTGGTTGACATCTGTCTTTCTGGTTGTTAACTAGTTGACATCTATTTGTCTGTCTGGTTGATATCTATTTACCTGCCTGTCGCTGTTCAGTCTAAGCAACATCTGACACGAACCGTCACTTCCAGGTTGTAGCCAATTATCCAAATTGATTAAGAGTATGTATTGGTTTGAAACTCATACACAATAAATTGATTTTGTCCTTTTTGTTCATTCTAATCAGGAATACAATCACTCAATGATTCATTAACTATGCAAATTAGAACTTTTTCTTCGTAGTATTAAAACTTCATGCATACTGGTATCTATTTCTTCCGAAACAATATATATAATTACTACTTAAAGAATAAAGTAATTGAATTCGTTTCATGTAATTTCATTTAATTAAAGTACATCAAACGTTATATAGTTTACTACCTTTCCGTTACGGTACATTAAAGACATGTGTAACATGTTTCAGAATCAAATGTCCACAAAAAGCATATACTTCAAAGCGTTGCTGGATATACCCCAGTGCTTCAAATCATTAATTGCATAGTTTCATTTGACGTATCGTTTATTTAGTATCATTCCCCATAATAAATTGTAAGAAACACCATATGCACGTGGATTCCACGCGGAAGTGGATTGTGATAGTGTAACCTAGTTAGCTCCACCACCTTTACTCGAGGTCGCTGTTTTGGTCGAAGCACTGAAACAGCTGGAGCCTGGCTTATCAACATGGTTAGATATCGTCAAACCGTTTGGGGATAAAAATAGTATAATCATAAAAAAAATCAGTAAGTATTTGTTCCTATTATTAGTCGTAGTATTATTATTATAATTATGATGATGATGATGATGATTATCCTTGCAATCGGTACATGTACACTAAGACAGTCACCGTCCCCATACTTCGACATTCAGATGTTTTGATTAAATATCTTATCTTATCGTGGAATTTATAAACTAGGCCAGAAACATTACACGCGGGGTCAAGTAATCGGCACTTGAACATCATGCCCTTCAAACATGGCGCTTAAACAATGTAGTAATCTTCACGACCAAACCCTGCAAATCGTACAAATCACTTGTTTAATCGTACAGCCGAACTATACTTGAATTAAATTTGAGCAAAAACTATTACCGATTGAAAACCTTGGAATTAAGCGTTTTCTTCTCCTTTTTCGTCGGTACAATCTTTTCACGTTTTATATTATACATTTTAAACATATTCTGTGTGTTTAAGTATTTACTTATACACTTTGGTATCGTCGTTACTGCCACCTTCTTGTTTAAATATGAGGGGTGATTTAAAAGTTCTAAGCCTAACTTTGACGGATGCATTAATTGAGTTCGTTGCTATTTATTTATCAAAATAATCCCCTCCGAGGTCCACTTAGTTCTGCCAGCGATGCTGGGGTCCCTGGATCCCAATGGTGTAGAAGGCTTCCTCATGTGGTGTAAAGAGTCATGTACAGCAGATATGGCGTCATCATTATATCCTAATGCTTGCAAGATAGTTCTTTCTATACTTTGAGAGGAGGTGGAAACCTGACAGTGCCAAATCTGGTGATGTTCGGAGGATGTTCATTGAGTTCAAAGCCTCAGCCATGCATTGCAGCCATAGCGACAACAGATCCTGCACAGGTAATTGTCCTGGTGTTGAACATCAAACCTTAGTGAGTTTTCCACGACGTTTTGCCTTGATATTTTCACG